GTAGAGACTTAACAATTTGGGCCTATCCGAGGTACAGACCTTAATGCAATATAAAAATCTGTAGTTTTCAATAAAAGGTCTTGTGAAGGGATGAGTGCTCCAATATTTATGGGATTTTTTTTGTGTAATATTATGTCATCAGTAATGTGTGAAGATTCTGGAACCGTAGGCGAGTAATTGTGCTTTAAAGATGCTGAGATGCTGCAGAATATATGATTTTTTATTATAAGGGAGCTATGAGTTGGTTTCCTCTGAAGGGTTTTCAAACCGTTGCGCTTCTCGGTAATCAGGGTAACATTCGGGTGGTTTCTACCCCCGTTTTAAGTCCAGCACTTCTTGTCAGGATATCTAGCGACCCTAAATAGGTACAGATTTTTGGTTGCAGCGTCAAAGTTGGGCTCTTTCCTAGACGCTTTTTAGTCAGGTACTACTCGCTAAAGTAAAAAGAACACAAATGGGTGTGGGCGAGAATTTAATTTCAGTTCTGTAGTTAAATAGGTTCTAATAATGTGGTTTCTTCCAATCTAGGTGTCCAGTTAAATTTTTGTGGGGTTGCGAGGTTTTTTGGAATTGGGCGATGCAAAATATAAAGTAGTATTGGGCGATGCAAAATATAAAGTAGTATCGTTATAGGGCAAGTCGTGGGTAATGGGTTTTGGTTGATTCAACGGTATGCCACCACGCGGAGCTGTGTTACATCTGCCAGTTTGGGATTCTGAGGTTTCATTGGTTGAGCAGAAGTTAGCTGATTGGTAAAATAGATTCGCATGATCAATGGGCGTAGTTTTCCATTATTAAGGTGGTGGCGATTAAGTTTTTGGACGCCGTGAGATAATACGCGTCAAGTCACAATAGCGCTCGCGTCGAGTGGTTAGAGAAAGTCTAAAGGCCCCCCTTCACGTGCAGTTTTGTCAGTTTGGGACTGACGCTCCTTCAGTTAAATCCAAACTCGCACGTGAAGGGCTTAAGCATGCCAAGCGCGCTTCAGTTGCGGCGCGGAGCGAAGAAATCAAATCGTACTAAATTCCTGGCGCGAACTGACATGCAGCGACAGCAAGATGTGAGCATGTATTGCGGCTCAGTTCTCACATCGGGATTGACACAATATGACAAAGGTGGAGGTAGTACGCTTAAGATGTGCAAAAGAGAGACAGCTTTAGTAGAATGTAATTGATGATTCACGCATTACGGTATCCTGTTTGTATAGATGGTCTTTCCAAGTTCCACTGTCCATTCTAAAATAATTTTGATAGTCCTCAGGGTTTGTTTGAATTATCTCCTTTAACAAATCGATATGTGTGGATTCATTTCTTCTCAAATACCACGGTTTCGACCAATACTCTTTTTTCTTTCTTCTTACTTCCCTTTCGTCGTCCACCAGAAACAAAAAAGCAATTGCTTTCCTCTTCTTCAAACTCGTTCTTTAACAACACTGTTGCACTACCAGACTCAGGAACAAAATAAAACTGAAATAAATTAACGCATGTCACACGCGCCCGGAATTCAATCCAGGAGCGAAGATAAGAACTGCACGTGAAGGGGGGCCTTAAGTCAATCCATAAGTTTGCTGTACCCCGAACCACTCTCAACGCTACCGCAACCCCGCCGCGCCCGCAAGTCCGGTGCCGGTGCATCTCCAGAGACCAGTGCGGCGCATGGCACCAGTGCCACGGGGTCTCAGACTATCGCCAGCGGCGCATCTCCAAATACAAGCGCGTTGCCGAATATCACTGGGGTATTGCCTATTACCACCACAAGTGCGTCACCTACCACACCGCTAGTGCATCTCTTGCTACCACCAAGGGCGCCACTACCACTAGCTCGACCTCAGAGCCAACAACGATTCTGGCCACGGGGACTCAACCTATCCACCATCTAGCCGCTGCACTCCAAGCACTAAAGGACGCCACCACCGGCCTTCTCGTTTTCTCCAGGGACCCACTCGAAAACTCTGCTACTTTTTTCGACGACCTGGAAAAATACTTCGTCAAAAACGCCGTTCCCGGCGAAGCCCAACGCGACCAACTACAGAAGACGGTCGCCAGATGATGGATGATGGAAGCCCCGCAGATAACTCCTCATGACGTATACCAAAGTGCGACAGTGAGTAATGGAGTATTACGATAGCCCAACGATTCCAGGCTGAACGCAGAGTTCTACAACGGCGACCAAAAGTACGAATCCGGCCTGGTCTTCCTTCAGGCTCGCTACGCGGTTGCACATCGTCATAAACGAGCACATAGCATTGCTCAAGGACTTACTTTCAATCCGGTAACAATTGGCGTTCAACGTGTCGGGACACTTTGACTCCAACGTGAATTGAGAAATGAGAACCCACCACCATTGACACCATCCCAACGGCGTGAGCGCCAACTGTAAGAACGCGACACGCACGCCACCAAAATCCCAACCGCCACCATAGAAGAATAGCCGGAACAGGTCCACGCCGACAGACATTATCAAAGTGCAACGACGGCGGTCACGCTGCAGAAGATTATCGACTATCTGGTGGAAGCCCTGTAGAACTTAAAAATCACCACCACCTCGACAGAAGTTTTCCTGGCTATACGACCCCAGTCTTCCAAGGCCTGGAGAAACATTTCGCAGAAGCGGACAGCCTGGAAAACGGCGGAAAAGCAGGAAACCGGAATTCTCGTTGTCATTCCTGTAGGGAAAAGTAGCTATCTGCCTCGGACTAGTCATAAATAAAGAGGCACAGCTCCTGGTAGATCTTATCCACTCCCGAGTAGACCGCTGACTCGGCTAAGAGCAGCAACCACCATCCTGGAACTCCTACAGTTCTTGCAGTCGATCGAAGAGGATAGCATTTCTTTTGAAATGGAGGGCCAGCGCCAACAGAGTCGCTTCCTAGTCGCACGCGAGGTGATTGCACCCCTCACCCTGAGCCAGGAAGGGCTAGCATGTCAACGCACGTCGTCACCGACTATACCCGACGATGCATACATTGGGGACAAACGCACCGCAGGAACACGTACTGGGACCACCACGGCGCCCCGGCAATCAACACGCCAGCCGCACTAAGCAACAACGGTTTTGCCCGGGAATCACTCCCGCTCACCGCCTTCACCTGTCCACACGGCGTCGGTTACCAATTGAGGGTAATGCCATTTGGGCTCAAAAACGCACCACCAACGTTTCAAAAATTAACGACGCAAAAAATCCTCCCCGGCCATCTGCGCAAATTTGGGATGGCTTATTTTAACGACATTATTATTTATTCAAACACCTGGACCATCCACGCCTGAACCTCGAACGTCTCTGACAACAAAACTTGAGACTATCCACGAAGAAGTGCTAGCCGGGGATGACAACGCTGATCTAAGCCACCATCACGTTACGCACCGACAACCGACTACCGAGTCCTGCTATGGCTAGACATCAGGACGAAGGACGACAGAAGCAAATTAAGTAGATGGGCGGTCTTTCTGCAACGGTTCATGATCTCGGTCGAACACCTGCGCTGGGGAAGAGAAGCCATTGGCGGATCACCTATTTCGCAACCCGGAAACAGTCCCTGAGGAAACAGGCCCGGATCTGGAACGAATGATAACTCCGCTACTCGCAACATCAGAGAGATTGTTATCGGGACCCAAATCATTGAATAAATTAATTTTTTATTCAATGCCTAAATGAAATATTTAAGCAGAAATATTTATAACGATTCCAGTCCGGTTTCGGCTCTAAAAAAACAACGGTTCGGTTCTGCGCATTTTTTTCGGCCCAAAACGGTTTTAGTGTTTTGGAAAGTAGAGCATTAAAAAATTTCATTCTAATAATATAATTTGTTAATTAATAGGTGTGAAAAAGACGTAAAAAGTCATGAATAAATAAAAAAACAGAAAAAATACACAGAACTATGCAACAAATTTTGTATTGAGTATTTTTTTTTCTAAAACCTCGCGCCTTCTTTTATTATTTACATTTACAGTAGTGGCTAAATTACCGCCACCGCCACTCGTACTGCCTTCAATTTCGACACCTTATTAAACATTTATAATCCACCGATGGCAATATTAGAGTATTTTATCAATGTGTTTGCCGACGCGTCCTTCAATTTCGAATAACCTGCCAAGAACCGTAAAAAACCGAAAAGAACCGAAAAAATAATAAGGTTCCGGTTCTCAAAAAATATCTATTTATGAGGGAATAACGGTTTCTGTTCGGTTTTCGGTTCTGAAAAAAATACCTGTTTTGGTTCGGTTTTCGGTTCTATTTGGTCTGGTCCGGGTCTCTGATTGTTATACAGGGTGCCCATTATGTATGGAATATCGTATATATCTCGGTAAAATTAGAACGTATACAACATTTTTCTATATAAAAGTTGTTTAACATTTTATTTTCCATAATAAAGCAGCATTCAGTTTTTATTTCAGAAAACAAATGAGTAAACAAATGAATTTATTTAAATAGCAGTGCACTTTTTCATTAGGCTCATTTGATAGAAACTTTGTTTCTCTTTTCGATGGTGTAACGTGTTAGTACCCTAATACAACAAAAATTTTCAAAAAATCTTATAATCACAACAACATTAATCTAGATATCCTGCATCAAAATAAAACAAATGAACATGTACAGCAATAAAATGGTAACAAACGTACACATTCATTTGTTTTATTTTGATGCAGGATAACTAGATTAATGTTATTGATGTGATTATAAGATTTTTTGAAAAATGTTTGTGTAACATGTTACATCATCGAAAAGAGAAAAAAAATCTCTATCAAATGAGCCACATGAAAAGGTGCAGTGCCATTAAAAAAAATCGACTGTTCGTCGTTCCTCACTTGTTTTCTGAAATAAAAACAACTGAATGCTGCCTTATTATGGAAAATAAAAGGTTAAACAACTTTTATATAGAAAAATTTTGTGTACATTCGATATTTTTATACTCATTGACAGTCATTATTATATGTACTCTATACATTCGTGATTCTTTGTTTTACATTCTTTAGATTTACCGAGATATATACTATATTCCATACATAATGGGCACCCCATTTATCGTGTAAATATTATGGTGTTGTAAATAGTATATAAATACAGTTTTGTTGCCGACCACCACTGTAAATCCGGTAACACGGTTATGTTCGGCAGTGGATATTTTTGATCTTGCTTTCATTCTTAAAATTTCTGCGAAAATATACGTCCACAGCTTGACGGTGGCTCTTAGGAAATGATTTCTCGCTCGTGGCTTAATTTCTTTCTTCAGGAACCACCCAATGGACCGATTGGTTGAAGATTGGACGGCGCCATTTTTGAAACGACCAGCATAGATTTTGCACTACGTGACGACGTTGAACCAATGCTCCTTTCCCACTATTTACACTTGTATTTATAGATATCCTCATAGTAAAATCTGACCCAATCGCTTTATCTTACAATGACAAATCATTTAAATACTCAACTCGCACTAGCATAAGGTTTCTTTACGTTTGTAATCTCCTTTTCAATTTCGTGAGGTTTAATAATAAAAAACTACTCGTAACTTAGGTTATAATAAACGAAGCATTAATTTAGGGTTAACTTAAGGTTACAGGGTGTAGATCGTAGACACCTTTCGATGGGTCAGATAATTGCGTATTTTTATTGACGTCATAGACATGCACATATTACCAGTAGGTACATAAGGAATTTTTGCTTTCGCATCCATTTTTTCAAGGGGGAGTACGGGCTATATAATGTAAAAATGTCGACTGAATGATAATAAATACAGTAGATGATTATTATTATTTGCGTGAGTGATCGCACCAATGGTCCCAGAATTGTATCTCCTTAAATAATTGCTCCCCTGGGTATACCGATTGGGGCCTAATTTGACGGTGAGCGTATAACTTGTAATCTGGATCAATGACACCAATGTCGACGCCGTATTTGATTAACGATTTTCCTTGATCCAGAACTGATGGTGTCGGTAGGTTATTGTCGAAAGTACCTATGAAAGCTATTCCAACAGCTTTTGAATTATACCCCCCTGTGTGAGCCCCAATTGTTCCCCAACCCCTTCCTTCGTAGACGCGCGAGTCGCACCCTATGAGAAAGTTGTACGCGATGTCATTCCACCTTTTTTCATCAATATGTATATCTTGCAGTTGCTGTGCTAACATCACATTTCCTTCCCTTGTAAAGGAACACAACGTCTGAGTATCCACTGTAACATTTCTTAATGAAACAACATTCATAAATACGGATACTCACAAATCACAACAAATTTAGCAGGTTCCTTTAAATATTCGTGACTTTCAATAGGATCTCGCATGCACCAATTTTCCCGCTTTACAACATTCAGCGCTTTGTATTCCTCCCTTTCTGAAAGTTAAAATATGTGCAATAAAACTCATAGCTACAATCACTCACTGGCAACTTCATTCACAAAAAGTTTGTTTGTGACGATTTCTTGAATTGGACTAGCGGCACTCTGGTTGATGTAGATTGGCCCATCCACTTTGATCACGTCTCCTACGAGAACTTTCTTACATTTATACATCATAACCTGGCTATAGTCCTTTGAAGGGCGAGATTGCGGGAGAGACTGTTTCGCTAATTTTTGCAAATCCTGCAACAAAAAAATGTCTTTTATTGCACTGCGCCGCTCGTTTAATAATTAAATTCCATTAATGGGCGTAACAATGAATACATAAAACATGAATCTGGTTCTTTTGATAATGGCTTGAACACCATTTGTCTTACAACTTATAATAGGGCGCTCAGTCATATTTAAGTTTGAAGGATAGTTTAAGTTTATTGCTCAACTTATTGTTATTGGACGTATATTTTTTGTTATATTGTGTTGCAAGCGCTGGTTTAGGGGCGAAGCATCCGTAACCGAGGACCGCCTTGTCCATGAGCGGCGACCCATCTCTTAGAGTGTCTTAACGTAGGGGAGTGTTACGAGGTGATACAGATAGTAGTTACTTAGGAGACTTTTACAGGCGTTGTATTTGACTGTGCCCGACTGCGCCCCGAATCATTGCATTATCTTCGTGTAACGTAAGGGGGCTCTATCTTAGACGATCCGATCAAGTGCCATTCTTTTATTTTAAATTTAAGCGGAAACTGTGTGTTGATGCTACGATTGCAAAGTTGCCACGTTGCACTAAAATCTGTCATCTTCGTTTCGAACCTGGGGTTGGATTAAGATCAGTACAAATTTGAAAAGCAAAAGAAAGTTGAATAATCGATAAAATCAAAATGCCGAAAGAGTTTCTACAAATTTAAATAGAATGCATTTAAAGCCCAAGGCATACCGTGTTCCCCTAGAACTCATCGGACAAAAGAACCGCACTGAAAAGAATTTAACCTGGGTTGAGGTGATTTTTTCATCTGTGGCAGAGATGGGAATTACCTTAAACCAGTTTCGAGCATTCCGCCGGCTACTCTGAATTAGGTTTTCCTGCAGTTTTCCTAATTCGTAACGTAAATACCGGAGTAGTATAAAACAACTTAAGACCTTCTGCAGAGGCACCCCTAAAAAGCATTATGCGGGTCACTCTGTAATTGAGAAAAGCCTGTTGAGGGCCTAGAACAAGAGAGGAATAATAAATAAATAAATAAAAAGAAAACTCTGAACACACATTTTATATCGCAGTTACAATATACAAAAATTAACAATCTGGGAAAGTAATTCTTGAATTTGAATAATTTTAAATCTGACGTTAATTTAATACATTTGATAGGACAAAGAATCGCCAGCTCAAAAAGATTTCAAAGCAACTCCACTCCTTTGCCATTTGTGGAAAATAACATTCCGAAGTCTCTTACATAAAGTACATGTAATACATTGTTACTTGGCCGCATCTCCTCCAGGCCAGAAGGTATCTGAAGGTCCTGGATACAGTAACCTTAGACTAAAATCGTATTTCGAGATGAATGACGGTAAGAAATTTCAACACTTACCATCATATTGGCCGATCCGCAGAAACTAATGCACTAAGTAATAAAAGCTCCGCTCACAGACTGAACTGTTTTGAGTGTGGCAATCACGGCTATATTGGGAGCAACTGCCCTACATGCAGTACTAGCGGTCAAGCGGTATCTTCACCGTCTATGACGACTTATAATATGGTGAATTTTTATTCCTTGTTTCCTACCGTCGCGGAACAAGAGCGACCTATGTTACCAATGCGAAATTGATATTCTTGACACGGGCTCAAAAACCAGCATCGCCGGCGCCCAGTTGTACAAATCTTTAAGAATCAAACTTACTGATGGGAATGTCAACGGAAAACAGTTCCGCGTAACGATGCAACTTGAGTCGGGAACTGTACGAGATAGGTAGGTAGTTTAAATTTGTCAAAGTTGCGTATTTTGATGTTTAACAAAATGCGGTTTTGAAATTGAAAAAATTCCGACTATTTTCGGAGATATCCGGGAAAAAACGAAATTTTGCAAAATCGTTTTTTTTACTGAAGTTTTTTAAAATTTTTTTAATAATAAATATCACATTATGACTACTTTTTTCCCTCTACAGGATGTTAGTTTTAAACTTTAAATCCGACGTTTCGTCTCCGGTTAACCATCAACTTTGTTTTTTCTTATGGAAGCAATTTTTACTTTTTGTGTCATTTGATAGATAATTTTTTCTGATTTCAAAAATGTAAACATAACTTTCTTTTAATAAGAAATAGCGCTATTATTTTGTAAAAACGCAAGAAATAAAACTACGTATGTTCACATTTTCGAAATAAAAAAATTCTCTATCAAATGACACAAACAGTAAAAATTACTTCTACAAGAAAAAACAAAGTTGATGATGGTTAACCAGAGACGAAACGTCGGATTTAAAATGTAAAACTAGCATCTTGTAGAAGGAAAAAGTGGCCATAATAATGTATTATTTATTTAAAAAAAACTTTAATAAAAAAACGATTTTGCATTTTGAACGAAATAAATTTAATTTGAAGGTAAGTATGTGATCTATACAATATATGAGTACAATAAACAACGAATTGAAATGGTACCTTTGACATTTATTTATTTACTAGCTGACCCGACCGGATATTGTCCTCTTTCTTAGCTATGAATACCTATTCAATTCTGACTGAAATAAATAATAACAAAAAAATTTGCTGTGGCTAGCACAGGTACCACCCGCCCCACCTGTGCATGCGCGATTCTGCCCTTTTATGTCTAAGAAATGTGTAGCAAATTTGGTTTAAATCGGTTCAACTGTTTAGTCGGAAAAGAGATCTTGACACACTTGCCACAAAATCTCCCCATCTCTCTCCAATATAATAAAAAATAGACGCACTCACTTCTATAGTTGCTTTTGGTGATTCAGAGCGAGCAACGTACCTTTTTTTGCGCCAAATGCCGTAATTTGAAAGCAATTATTGTATTTCAGGATATGAATAAAAAAAATGTACCTATAGAATCTGGCCCATTTCCGGAAACCAAGGATTGTAGTGGCTCTGGTGGCCGTACCTATGGCACCAATTTCACTTGGCCACTGGCGCAACATAATCCAGGGCCTTCAGTAGCCTTGCAATGTGGACACACAAAGTTCTTTGTTCTAATAGCAACGATTTAATGTAAACTGTAATCGAAAGGGGAAAAATAAATTTCAACATTTCTGTTATTAGTAGCAATTCATAAAACAACAAAAGTCATGGTTATTTTAAAATTTGCGGGTATACCAAAAGCTTAATAAAACATGTAAAAACAGTTTTGTATGCACCTTTTAATTCTGAACAACTTTAAGAGTCTTCTTTACCTAAACGCAACTTTTTTACATTATGGTGTATAGATGATTATAGTTGCAAGAAACAAGATGATATTCTTGCTTAGTCAACTCCTATTTTGGTCCTTAGTTAGTTCCCATCGACACTGTGCAGTGGCGCTACTTGTTACCCTCAAATTGTTGATTTACCGCCCGCCAAGATACAGACTTTATTTACAAAAAATATGATTTAATATTTTGGGGTAATGTTTAGAAGTAACTTATCTAGAAAACTGTTGGTTTACTTTTTCCATAAACCGTTTTGTTTCAGAGTAAAAAATAAAACAGATTAGCGCAATAATCGATGCAAAACATCTAATTTTTAAACAATCGGTATTTAGTTGCTATAAACTGTTTTAAAAAAGTAGCCCGAACATTTTGTAGATAAAGGTCTAAATTTATAAAATAGTTCTTAAAAAATTTTTTTTATTTTAAACAACTAGAGTTTTTATGGCGGGCGCTCTTATGGAAATTTACATTGGGTGCAGTGGGTACAGAAGACTCTTAAACTCTACAGTTTTTTCTGTAAAATGTACAGGAGGGTAGGATAGTGCATAAAACTAATTTCCCATGTTAAATCCCCATGTTCTTACTTACCGAGCACCACCCGGTATATGTTTGACTTGTAGGATTACGAATTCTGCGACCTAAGTTGGTACCATATGTTGGTACGTCTAATAAATAGCATCTTAAAAAAACTAAAATTCAACTGCAAATAGAAATTGACTCCCTTAGTGTTTCTGTGTAAACCACATGTTTAGTCTGTCAACACTTACCAAAAATGGTTATTAGGTATATCAAACTTTTAATATAAAAGGCGTGATTGCGGTGAAATAACTTTGAAGCTTCTCAAAAAACTCACTGAAATCTGGATAAACCTCGGGATAAACTATCCGATCGAATTGACAGCACACTATGATATGAATAAATTAATTTTTTGACGGATATATTATGCCGATCCATTGCCGATCGATGTAGGTGTTAAAACAATTGCCATCGCACCGTCAAACGCGCGATGTTTAAATAGTCGTTAAGTTTTCTCCAATTTTCCAACTTTCTGAGCGATTTTCTTAGCTTTTTTTGCCGTAAGAACCTTCTACACAGTATTAGAAAACTTAAAAAAAAAGATGAATGGAATCGGTCAAGTCGTTCTAAAGTTATTGCGTGACCAGAAGAAACCGGGGTTCATTTTTATATATAGAGATTTATGTATTTAGGTATTTTTGTATTTGTGTATTTATGCTTTTATGTATTCATGTATTCAGGTATTTATACATTTCTGTATTTGTGTATTTATGCATTTATGTATTTATGTTTATATGTATTTATTTATTGTCCCTCTGGGTCCTCAACATTACAAAGTATCTAGTTACGCTTTATAAAATTATACTTACAGACAAAATAGATGCTCCAGGGTTGCAAATGATCCCATTTTGATAAAAGTCCCCATCCGCAGCATCTGCCCTTTCAAAAATGTTAGAAATTAAACCACACGACGATTCGGAATGTGTATCGTCATTTAAACTGCAACGTTCCAACCACTTTTCGCATTTCGACGCGCCCGATTCCGAAGTTTCTGATGCCGAGCCCTCATTGCTCGAATTCTGGGACAAGACACACAATTTTTTATTATTTTCGTTCATCACTTCGCGCGTAATAAATTGTTTATAGACAAAGGCGCGACTGGATTTGCGGTTCGGGGAAATTATTAATAACAATATACTTATCACGTACCTATGGTATAAGACGAAAGTGGTTAATCGAGAACAAACGAAAGAACGTAAAAGTTTATTTTTAAAGCACTGGGAACCCACCAAAATCATTTATTTTTTCTATCC